CTCTCTCTCTCTCTCTCTCTCTCTCTCTCTTTGCTACGCAAGTCCTCGGAGGCCGGTTGTTTGCGCGCACCTTACCTATCCTAGGGAAGGGAGGGGGAGAGGCGAGCGTACGTACTTTTACGTACGTTCTCGAGATCTCCAGGTCCTCCGCCGAGGCATTATTGCTGTCACTCCGCCATCGGGATTTACCTATAGCCTTCCGCTATGGTCATTTCGAGCCGCAAGATCGATCGTACCCAACTTTTTTTCCGTCTCGATCCATTCTTCTTTTCCACCCTTTCCCCCTTCTTCGCTTTTTCTACCCCCGTTTACGTCGATCGTTTCCCTTAATCAACCGGTGGCCGTATAAATATTCGAGAAACCGTGTGCCATCAACGGATACGCGTGTCTCCTATACGTCGCATTATGCTTAATTCATTATCGCCACGATAAGGACGAGTAATTATTGTCGGTGATCGACGCGGTATTCGTCATTGGTTTTGATTCGGATCGACAGGGCAGGGTTAGAAACGTCGGTCGTTGGTTTAACCCGTCAAGCGTGGAAACGTGTTTCGATCGACTTGGAATATTTGTGGTGGGTCGATAGGGCGGGTTATTTGTCTCCGCGCAGCGCCACTCTGCGTAGATATTCGGTTCGGACATTTTTCTCTTCGAGGGACGTTAAAGGATCCTCGAAGCCGGCCGTAACTTCTTCGCTCGATCCTCGCTCAACTCGCTGCACGACCATCGTTCGTCTTCGTCACCGATCTCGAAGAGTATACCAGGGACACGCGTCCTTCCATCGTTTAAGCGCTCACCACAGTGTGCGCGGCTTTTTCTCTCCTGCGTAGTTCTAAATAGGACATCTATTCGTCTTTCATTCGACGATTAATGGAAAATTAATTTGCGAAAACAGTTTCGATAATATACAAGTATAATTTCTTTCCAAGGAATGATTTGAAAGAATGAGAAAGAGAGAGAAGAAGAAGAAGAAATAGAAGTACACTTGGTATCGCGAAGCAACGATTTCAAATATCTTCGTTCAAGATCTCTTCACCTCAGGCAGAAATGTTTCGTTAGAGTAATCGATAGAACGGCGTGGCGATCAACGGTCGGCGACAAGAGGACGACGAGGGAGATTCTCAAAGGATCCGCTTCCGTCGAACCCTCTAATTGCTCGGACTCGTGAATTAGCATCGGCAATAAACTCAGCCAGCCGCGGTGCGGCCGCCAGTAGGACGTAAAGGTGACTGTAAAGGTTCATTAGTCACCGTACACTGTGTAACCGAGGTATATCTCGGTTGGTACGGCTGCTGGCCGATCCATTCGTTCCGTGTCTCGCCAAGGATATACACGTTACTCCACTACTGATTCGTTTGCTCGCCCGATCCTCCAACGGTCGAATGAAAGGCAAACTCGTCGAAAGAGAGAGAGAGAGAAAAAAAGAAAGAAACGTTTCTGCTTCTACACCGATCTTGGATTAAAAGACATCGAAACGCAAATCTTTTTTCGCGATAATAAGGAAACGACGAGTTTGGATACCACATTTCGTGTACACGTCATTCGAACGGCTTGTATTTATATAAAGTATATACATATACCTCTCTTCCTCGAAATCTTTCTCCCCACCCCTTTTCCACTCTCCACGTATCCATTATTCCAAATTATCCTTCCGCTAACCCGTCTCTCTCTCTCCGTAACCCCGAGATAAAAGAAATTTCAACCGGCCGATTACCCAGGCAAAGAAGACGTTTCCAACGACGCTGCCGCGACGTAAGAGAGGCACGTCGTCGGTTCAGCTGGCACGTAATTGCTAGAAAGTCATTCCGCGTTTCGTAGGGGAATAAACGAGTAGAAGGGAGAGGGAGGGAGAGGAGGGGGCTCGGAAAGTTCGGTCGTTAGATGACAGGTGTTTCGAGGGTAATCTCTCGTGGATCGCGGCCGTTTCGATGGGTCGAAAGGTGAACCTTTCCAGCGAACGATGCCCTCCTCCCCTCCCTCTCCCCCTCGATGCACTTATACACACCGCTTGATTCCTGGATGGCCTGGAGTCGTTCGTCCTGTTCGTTACGGTTACCGCGGTGAGATCCGTCGTGGCCTCATCACGCCATGGACATTAGTGTGTCCTCGTAATTCCACGAACGGACAGCTAAGGGGGAAACTTGGCTTCCGAGTCCGGTTATCACTCCTGTCGAGATCCTGTAGTAGGGATTCGTTAGAAATCGTATAACTCGTTAGGACGGTTATTCCTCTTCGTTCTCTCCCTCTGATGAGTTAGCTCTTCACGAAGATTGGAAATAAGGTGCAGATTCGAGGTCGCTTCGGAATTTACACTTCGAGCGTGATTAAACGATTATAGAGACGATGATTATCCCGTTGTTCCCTCGTCACTCGTTGTTGGATATATTTTCGAGCTAAAAGATCCGGACGATTTACAAGTTGCCTCGTGTTAGCAGTCGGGGCTATTTGTCACTCGACGATGAGTTTCTTCGCTCGATGACAACGGCTCGTCCAACGCATATTGTTCGGTCGTAACGAATTAACGCGTGTTCGAAAAAATTATAAGTTCGAAGGACGCTTGGTCTTCCTTCATTTCTCTACATTCGCGATACACCGATCGTTCGCTCGGACACAATGGTACCATTAAAAACCATCGATAACACCGTGTCGCTGTAGTTGCTAATCGGGATTGGGCATCGTATGGAACGTAGGTGGAATATGGGTTAACGACGCGGGCCACGTTATGTCGCGCAAGATTTCACGGTAGGTGTTGTGGAAGCCCGTGGAAACGAAACGGACGAATGGGACGGGACGAGACGGGAACGGACAACGGGCGGCGATCGCAATTTATCACGCGAAAACGTAAAACGCTTTTATTACTGTCATCCATTATACGTCATCCTGGCCGTGCTAATAAGACGTTATTAGCCGGTTAAAAGAGATCTTTTCACGTCGGTGCCGATCGTGGGACGGTTATTATCGATGGACACCGATTCCTCTTGCATTCTCGGGGCCGTTGCTAGGCCACCAATGGGATGTTGATGAATGCCGCGTTCGTTGCGGAGGATCGATAATTGCGTCTGCCTCGTGGAAAATTTCGATCGTAATCGCGTATTTGGAATAAATACGTTCGATATTTCTCTCTCTCTCTCTCTCTCAGTCGGAGAAAAAATGTAAAAGCGAGCGAGTCGAGTTAAGCTGCTCGGTTTCTACCGCTTTTATTGAACGATCAATCTGCCCTCCCCGACCAATTAAAGTCTCCCACGGCGAGGAAACTTTATGGGCGTGAAATCTGTCGTGGAACGGTCGTCCCGGCTCGTGAAGTTACGTTTTAACGGTGATCCCGTAGCAGAGGCGAGGCAACCGGCCATTTGTCTCATTAACCGTAATTATTTTCCACGTGTTTCTCCGAGGCTCGATCATCAATCTCGAAAATGGTCTACCCGCTAGACGCGTGGTTGCCGCGGAGAGGCTGGTTCGAAAGCAGCTAAGCTGCTGCGTGCTACGCCGTACACGTGGAGAAGCGTCGAAAAACGTAATCTCGAAAACTAGATCTAACGCTGATCAAACGTCGCGATTGTGCCGGGGAAAAATTGATCGTTCGAGACGCAGGTGTACTCCCGAGGAGAGATATCTCGCCTCGTGGCGAGAGGTAGTAGTGGTAATGGTGATGGTAGTAGTAGTAGTAGTAGTAGTAGTTCCACCAATGATTTTCGTCCTCGCTTATCTCCGCGACGGTAATTTACGGTTAAAAAAAGGGGAAACGATTTTTGGAATGCGGTTTTTGTTGGACGACTCGGTTATTTCGTTATCTCAATTACCTTCTCCCCGATCCCAACGCTTTCGTTCACGAATCATTGAGATTTCTCGAGTTTCGGGGTTTCCAACGATTTTCGATAAAATTATACGGAAAATTATACGGGTTGTTGCGTAAATGGAACGCCTTTCTCACGAAGGCGTGAGGATAATTACATCCCGTTACGTAACGCGAGTATAGATTTTTGAATAATCGGTGGACGTGGAATTTCATAAATACGTTCGCTCGCATCTAATTTAATTAGATAGCCAACCCGATCCTCCGGTTGCTGACGCGCGCGTTATTTATGATCGTTCGATGCCTCCACGCGTATACAATCCATAACATAAACAAGGTAAATTATAGGCGATCTAACGCGGCGTTTAACAACCGCGTCGCTCGTTCAACTCTTAATATATATATATATAAACTTATAACATAGAGTCGAAAAATTTCCTAACAGCGACAGTCTCCGACTTCCCGACTTTCTCGATCTCGCGGCACGAAAGAAGAAAAATTCGATTCATCGGGATGGAGGAAAAAACCGTTTGTCAAAATCATTGGCTTAATTCCCTTATTCCGCGAGGCTTAAGCCCTAAGTCGCGCTCAGGTTAACCAGTGGAAGAATTCGAGCGAATCCGTTTCGAATCCGCTAACGAGAATAAACAACGAGCGGCGAGATAAATCGCCCGTGTCCTCCCCTTAAATTCCCGCGCAAAAGCTAAACGAAGAGACGAAGTCGTGTTATTATCGGTGAAACGATCCATTCCCTGTGTGTTTGCGACACACGAATTTATGCGACCGCAGGACGCGAAACGAAGTTACCGCAACGAGCGGTATCGGTTTCAGGGTCGCGATCGCTCGTTGCAGCTGGGACCACCGTGGTCTAACCGTTCTTGGAAGCTTTTACTGGAAACCGCAGCCATCTTGCGGAATTTTTCATCCCGTCCCATCCTTTCCCGTTACGGGGGGGAGGGAGGGGGAGGGAGATCGCGAATAAATCACACGGCTTATTTCCTTCGGCTTAAATCCGAGGCTTGATTAATAATGGGACGATAATCGCGTTTCGACGAAAGAGGGGGGGGCCCTAGTTTCGTCATAAATACGTCCGCGCTTATCGTCACCGTTCGATAAATTTCGTTCACGGAGTTGTTTCGTGGCGCCGTAACGTGGAATTTTCTTTCCTTTCCTTCCCTCCTCCCTCCTCCCTCCTGGATGCGTGCCTCGCTTCGAAGCGAAGCGTTCGTTCGAGATAAGAGACTCGCGATGCTCACGAATTATAAGCGAGCGATAATAGTTATCTTCGAATCGATGATCCTCGCGAGAAATGAATCGATATTTGGGCAAGATTGTTAACGGTTTCCAACGGATTCGATTACGTAGATCGGTGATAGATACGTGAACGCACGCGTGAGAAACGTTTTTTACCTTTAGATAAGGATATAAAATAACACGAATGGC